CCCCAAAACCCCAAAACCCCAAAACCCCAAAACCCCTTTTTGCACACCTCTGATTGATAATTCTGAACAAAAATGAACTATCTATTTATTTTTTCCCCATTAATATGGCAGCTGTCTTTTTGCCATGTTTTCCTGAGTCTATTGGCTCGTTTTGTGAATAATGACCTTTTCTCATTACATTGGTATGAGAAGCTTCTTGTGACTCAGATTCAGAATCCTCATTTTCTTCAGAGCTTTCGTTTTCTTCGGAGTCTTCATTATCTTCAGAGCTCTCATTTTCTTCAGCATCTGAAGACTCATTATCCTCTTCATTTACTAAATTCAAAAGGTTAGGAAGAAAATTTAGGTTAGTGAAAATTTACTAGGTCTGTCAGTATCCATAACGACTTGATTCCTTTGCTTGGAAGACTTACTTTTCTTTGCATGGACTTCCTTATGTTTATTTTTAGAATTCCTATAAATGTTAAAACAATTTACTTCAAGTTTGCATTGGGATCCTTTGGAGCAAAAGGATCCTTTTTACTCCCAGCACGATGGCCCGTAGCTTTCTTTTTCATCATCTCATTTTGTCTCTCTGTGCCTTCACTGCTCTCTTCATCAACTCTGACCTTTACCTAACAAGTCAATACCGGGTGAGAAATTTGAAAATTATTTCGAAATTAGTGAAAATAAATCACAGCTTACATCTTTAGGACTCGCAATATTTCCTTGAGGTTTAACGCTATTTGGGTGCTCAAAGTCATTATGTCTTTGCTCTTGAGTGTCTTTTCTCATTTCATCCTTTTCTCTATAATTCCTTCCTTCTGGATATGCCTCTCTATCTTCATTGTCCATCCTGAGATTTTTAGCTTCCTCTTCTTCAGGTTCTCTCTTGCCTTCATACAAGGGATGACTTTTGTCAAATGGCAGTTCCTTGTAGTACTGAAGATATATAAGGTAGCCTGTGGCAGCACTTATTGCTAACAATCCGAAAGCCAACCAGCAAGCTTCAGCTCCAGTGGACTCAGCTGCTCTGGCAGCTGAGATGAACACTGTCATGAAGATGCCTGAGACTACCTTTCAGTTGTTGAATTTAAGTTTTTGTTTCATTTGAATTCAAAAATATTAAAAATTTCGGGGTTTTGGGGTTTTGGGGTTTTGGGGTTTTGGGGTTTTGGGGTTTTGGGG